CCAGCCCCAATTAGAACGTATGTGTGTTGTGAATTTTAAACTATTTTTTACTTATTTTGCTTTTCTTTTTTCTTCTTTCGTTGTAAGCCACCCGGGATTGGGCGGCCTATAAATTTAATAAATGAATAAAGTGTGTGTGGGGGGGGACCCACTTCCACAGATGTTTCACTTAGCAAGAGAAATTTTGGACTCGATTGTGATTGTCCACAATGTCCAGGACTAGCTTGTGTAACTTTTGTTCAAGCCTTTGGTGGTCATTGAGTGCTTGTGTGACTTTTGTTCAAGGCTTTAGTGGTCGTTGGGTGAGCCCTTGCTGCTTCTCTATCAGCAGCAGATGGGTCCTCCTGCCGCATTCATCTTCCATACGTGACCGTCTGATGTAGAAATTCACCGTGGCTCGAGACTAGGCGCCGTTATTCAAACCAAATTCGAGAGAAGTTCCTGCCACTTACGTGGAACCGTTCGCCTTCGCCTTGGTATTCCCCGGCGACCCACGCGGAGTGAAGTCAGTTCTCCCTAACACCGCTAGCACCAGCAGCAGCAAAGGGAAGCGCCCCTCCCTCTCCTCCGCGGCCTAGTAGGCGGCGACTGCCGGCGTCACGAGGCGTTGTTATAGCAACTTCGCTTCTCTCCCCCCCCCTCGGCTTCAGTCCTCCGCCGCTTGTTCCAGCCGTGCCGCTCTAGGCAAGCTCCCCCTCTGTGGTTTTGCATCCCGGAAGCGCCAACAGAGCAGGGAAATGAGGAAGTGCGTGCGACGTGTGCGATTGGAGCCGGCTTGCAGGAGGAGAGTTTGTTTTGGTGGGAGGCCGGTACTGGCAGCGGCCCGCTGACCCCCGCCGTAGTCTGTGGCGCTCCGTGCCGGCCGTGGAGAGCCGTCCTTGCCTTCCTCCCTCTTCCCAGGCTCCCTTCCCCGTTTAAACCTGCCGGGGGCTTTCCCTCGCCTCCCTTTTTATCTTTCGGCGATGGCTTCCTTAGGTCCTTCGGGCTCCAACTGGGGCCTGATCATGAACATTGTAAACAGCATCGTAGGGGTCAGCGTGCTGACGATGCCCTTCTGTTTCCGACAGGTCAGTCTGTTTTTTGCGCGTGGGTCCCTTCCCTGGTTTAAAGGGTTAATGGCGGGAATGACAGGACCTCCTGCCTGTCCGGGTTTCCCCTCCAGCCACCTCACCCGGTCCCGGCTTCGTCGGTGTGTGTGGCAAGGTAGACTTTTCAGTAACTTCCTTACCTTTCCTGCGCATATTTGTGTTAGAAAAGTTGCTCCTAGTATATTGAATAGAATAGAATTCAATTCAATCTTTATTAGCCAAATGTGATTGGACACACAAGGAATTTATCTTTGATGCATATGCTCTCACGGTACATAAAAAGACAAGATACACTCGTCAAGAATCATAAGGTACAGCACTTAATGATAGTCATAGGGTACAAATAAGCAATTATGAAACAATATCAGTATAAATGGTAAGGATATAAGCAACAAAGTTACAGTCCTGCAGTCATAAGTGGGAAGAGATGGGTGATAGGAACCATGAAAAGACTAATAGTAATAGTGATGCAACCTTAGTGAATAGTTGGATTGCGGTGAGGGAATTATTTGTTTAGCAGAGTGATGACGTTCGTGAAAAAACTGTTCTTGTGTCTAGTTGTCTTGGTGTTCAGTGCCCTAGAGTGTTGTATTCAGTTAGTGGATGGACCATGGGAAGCCCAGAGGAAGAGAATTAACACTGCTCTTTTTATAGAATTCTTTATTGGCCAAGTGTGATTGGATACATAAGGAATTTATCTTTGGTGCATATGCTCTCAGTGTACATAAGGAGAATAAAAATACATTCATCAAGAATAAAAACACTTAGTGATAGTCAAGGTTACTAATAAGCTATCAAATCGTACTAGGAAACAAATAGAAACAATATAAATTGAAAGATACAAGCAACATGGTTATAGTCATAAGTGAGGAGAGATAAGATACTAGGAAGGAAGAGAATAATAATAGTAATACAGTCTTAGTAAATTATTGACAGTGTTGTGGAAATTATTTGTTTGGCAGAGTGATGGCGTTCAGGAAGAAAACTGTTCTTGTGTCTAGTTGTTCTGGTGTGCAGTGCCCTATAGTGTGGTTTTGAGGGTAGAAATTGAAATTTGTGTATTAATTTTGTTGTCAGTTTAAAGATGGCGTTGGTTCTTGCCCGTTTAAAAGTGGTCGTTACGGTCACCTTTTGCCCTTTTTTCTTTTATGCTAAGCTTTATGCCCTTTTATTACTTGCCTTCACTTTTAAATGTATCCCGTAACTATTAATTCTAAAGAGCCAGTTTGGTATATAGTGGTTAAGGCACCAGGTTAGAAACTCTGAGGCACAAAGCCAGCTGGCTGACCTTGGGTCAGTCTTTACCTCTCAGTCCTACGAAAGAAGCAATGACAACACACTTCATTAATTTTTGCCAAGAAAACTGCAGGGACCAAACCAGGCACTAAGCCAGGTATCAGCACTAAGTCTGAGGGACATATTTCTCCATGTGTGTCAGATGTTCTGCATATTTGCATGGTTCCAATTTTGTACATTGAAACTGACATTATTCCTTTTCTCTTGGTCAGGGATTAATTCTATTTTTGGGGCAAAAATATTTTAAGCCACTTCCAAACTGCTTAGTGTTATCTTGCATTAATGGTTATTATATAAAATATACAGGTTGAATATTCACCTTAGGAGCAGTAGAATGGCTTGCTTGTTATATTGCTCAAGGTTTGTGTTTCATCTTTTTATTCTTACTTCATATTCTTTTTAAATCAAGTTATATTGACTGTTTTTAGAATATCTATCCTGCATTATTATAAAAAGGATAGTATGTAAAAGTAAGAGTTCTCTTGATACATGAATTCCAAGGTTTGTTAATTCTTTAATGTTTCCTCTTATATCGTCTGGTCATGTTTGTTATAACCTGGTGCTTAAACACCTGCCCATCTGTGTGACTTGCCTGACAGGTACAAAAATATAAAATTTGGGATTAAGCTTTAGGTTTTATAAATTGAAAAATGACAAAGTATTTTTGTTCATCATTAAAAGTAAACATATCTATATGAGAGTCATATAAATCTTTTTTCCCCTTTTTTTCCTTCCCTCTCAACATTGCCATGTATTACTTTCCTGGATGTTGAGAGGATTTCAGATTGTGGAATCCAATGTAAAGCAGATTTTAGAAACATATGTCAGGTTGTTTCATATTAAGAAATCACCTACGTGTCTTAAGTTCCAGATACATTTCTTAGCCATTTTGGTGTAGTGGTTAAGGCATCAGGCTAGTAACCAGGAGACTTTGAATTGTAGTCCCACCTTACTCTACTCCCACTTTAAGATCCAAACCAGCTGGATGACCTTGTGCCAGTCTCACACTCTGTAGACCTAGGAAGAAGGCAGTGGCAAATTCCTTCTGAAATCTTGCCAAGAAAACTGCAGGGATGTTTCCAGGAAGATGTCAGGATTGACTTGAAGGCACACACAAAAGATAAAGTTTGCATTACGTGGCTTTAGAGAATAAAGAGCCCTGGAATATGTTTTTTTTCAGTAATTAAGAAAAATGTACACTCTTTTTTGCTTAATATGGACTATATTATAAGTGCATCACATACACCATGGCTGGCTGGAAAATTCTTGGAGCTGAAGTCCACATATCTGAAAGTGGCTAACGTTGAGAAACACTGACATACACAGAAGTGAAGGCACCCTCTAAATGTGTTGGAATTTAATTCTGAAATTCCCAGCCATTGCAACCATTAGATATAACATTGGAGATAATAGAAGCTGTAGCCCAATACATTTCAAGGGTGTCATTTTATCATTGCTCCCCTAGGAGATAAACTTACAAAGGCCTCTAGTGGCTTTTATAAAAGATTTATTTAGTCCAGAATATTACTTTCCATTGTGCTAGCCAAATGCCAAGGAATAGTCTGTAAATAGGACATGAGGTAAATAGTTTACACCAGTGCTGCATTCTTCAATTACTATCCCATAGCATGTCATCTGGAGTTTCCAATTCTGTCACATTGTTCAATGTAAGGTTTCTTAACATATTGTGCATTACATTACATGCCATATAAATGAAGATAATAGGAAAACTCAGAATAGTTCACTATATATCTGTTGATCTAACTGACAAATCACATTCAATGTGTAGTCCTCAATGGAACTATATCTACATGAAAGGAAGTAAGCAGTGGGGTACCCCAAAGTTCCAATTTAGGCCTAGTACTCTTCAACATCCTCATAAACTATTTAGATGAGGGAATAGAAGGGGAAATAATCAAATTTGCGGACGATACTAAACTGGCAGGAATAGCCAACACCCCAGAAAATAGGCTTAAGATCCAGATGGAACTCTATAGACTTGAACTCTATAGATTTGGCTCCTAACAAAATGAAATTCAATGTAAAAAAAAGTACATGTTTACACTTAGGCAAGAAAAAAAACAAGCGTACATGTATAGATTAGATGAAACCTGGCTCAATAGCAGCAACTGTGGGAAGGATCTTGGAGCCCTAGTGCACAATCACTTAAATATGAACCATGAATATGCGGCAGCAGCCAAAAAAGCCAAAGCAGTCCTAGGTGCATTAACAGAGGGGTAGAATCAAGACCACATGAAGTATTAGTACCACTTTATAAAGCCTTGGTAAGACCAAAGAATACTACATCCAGTTTTGGTTATCATATTATAAAAAAGATCTAGAGACTCTGGCAAGGTGTACAAAGGAGCAACAAAGATGATTAAGGGGCTGGAGATTAAAACATACGAAGAACGGTTGCAGGAATTGGGTTTGTCTAGTCGAGTGAAAAGAAGGACTGGGGTGACATAATAGCAGTGTTCCAATATTTGAGGGGCTGCCACAAAGAAGACAAAGTCAATCTATTTTTCAAAGTACCATGAGGCAAGACAAGAAACAATGGGTGGGAACTAACCAAGGAGAGAAGCAACCTAGAACTAAAGAGAAATTTCCTAACAATGAGAACCATTAACCACTGGAATGGCTTGCCTTCAGAAATTGTGGCTGCTCCAACACTGGAGGCTTTTAAGAAAAGTCAGCCACTTGTCTGGACTGGCATAGAGCAGTGATGGCGAACCTTTTTTGGCTCGCATGCCAAAAGCGGGGGGAGCGCAGGGGGGTCGTACATGGGTGTGCCACACCCATAATGCAATGTGCAATCCCAGCACGCATGCGCGCATGACCAGCACTTCCCCCATTTTTTGCATGCTTTTTTTGCCCTCCCCAGGCTTTATAGGAGCCTGGGAAGGCAAGAACAGTCTCCCCCGCCCCCCCCCCCCAAAGGCCCTCCAGAGGCTTCAGGAACTTCCCTGAAGGCTCTGG